GACCTTCTGTGTCACGTGACGTAGCCAGAGATTTGATGACGTCATTAAAGTACATTTTTTTTTTTAAATTGCTTCAACTAGTACATTTTTTGGATAAAGAACAAACAAATAAAATAAATACAAATTCGCGTTTAACTTAAAATCCATCACCTCATATATATATAACATAACCTCCGCCCACCAAGCCAACACTGAAGCTGATTGTACAATAAGTAGTAAATGGCAGGTTTTGGGCGCAAAATTAAAAAAAAAGCAAATTAATCACATGTTATATGCTTCCAAAGCATTCATTCATACCATGTCTAATGCTACAGTGGCGTAGCTAAACATCTGTCCATAAAAAAGGGGGGAGGGGTAATTCCCAGTTTTCGCTCCCCCCTCTTGTTATATAAATTATTCTCAGATATTCGGTACAGCAGAAGTATAGGTCCTATAATTACGCCATAGTGTTCACACAAAAAAAATGTAAAGCATATAAAGTTGGAGACACTATAGCAGCACATTTATTTTATTTGGAACAATTGTACGCTGCCTATTTTTTAATTCATTCAAACTGGCCAAATCTAAAAAAGCAGTACATTTTCGAAAACAAAAATTCATACATTTCTTTTTTTTTTTAAATTTTCATCGTGTGGCTTATGTGATTCTTTAATCTATACAAAAATATACGAATCAAATAAAAGGGTTTTGAAATATATTCGCACAGGCACACACACTCAAACACACATAATTTAATTTGTATTTACAAATATAGTATCTTTCATCTATTTGTTTTATATAAGCGGAGAAAAACGTACAAATTACTAACATAATAGTTATAATGAGTTCATTTTTATTTAAATATTGACAGTATACTAATATCTTTTAAAGGTGGAACAATTAAACTGTTATAATGAGAATTCATGTATACTTAGATTAAGTCATACGCGCCAAGGGACTTGTCCGAAAAAACTATAGATTTATTATAATTTTTTTTTTAAATAACTAAATTTGTGTTTCTTGGTTAAATATAAATCAAAGATAAGCTTTTTGGGCAATCATCATTATATTTAAACTAATCCTAACTTATATTTTCTTTAAATTAAACGCGATTTTCAAAAATTCAAAAACATTAATACAATGTAGTGATTTCACGCTTAATGAGTTTGTGTTTGATTTTACAAGGCGCATCGATTTTTTTTTTATTTAAAAATGTGACATCTTGATCAACGCAAGTATGTCAGCCTTACATACAGATACAAAGATACTGAGTTCTTGCCATTTGCATGTTATGATGATGATGATAATTGTTATAGACAAACCGATCACAGTCATATAATATTTCGTGAATACATAGATCAATACATCAATACTAAACATCATTTTTTTTTAAATGCAAGGGAAAAAATAAAAAAAATCACAAAAATAATGTCCGTTGACAAGAAATCTCATTCAATAAGCCAATAAAGTCAACCCAGGTCAGGTCATTCAAACATAATATTGCATCTGTGTAGGGGATTGGGAGGGTGGGGGTAGGTAGGGGGTAATGAGGGGGGGGGGGTGGGGCATATGTACTATCTCAGCCAGGTTTTCCTATTATGTTCTCATTATATTTTTTTTATAGCGATAAGCGAATGTATGTCTAGAATACACGGAGCCAATCATCATTAACGGTGTTAAAATGTAATGAGGTCTAACCATTTCTAACCGATTCTAAAATCACAGTAATTGCCCTCTAAGTACCCAGAGAAAATTTAAACTTAAGGATGGTTCGGAAAATATTTTTTTTTACTAACTGCGCCGATACACGTGTTGTGGAAAATTTTCCTTTAAATCGTTGCGACTGCGGAAAGACGCCGTTTCGATTTTCAAGTCGTAATTGTTTTTGTTTGAGTTATAGTAAGACATGCATTTGTAAAAGTAAAAGATAATTTGTAGACGAGAGTTAATGCCCTTGTTAAGAACCCAGGCTTGTATGTTGAATTCTAAGGACTTGAAATTAGCCGTGCTTATTTGTCTAACAAAGTTCGTTAAACTTTATTTAAAATCAAAACTATATTTTTTTAATTTGAAATGCAACTTTTTTTTTCCTTTTATAAAACGTAACTTATTTAATCCTTTAATCGCACTATTTATATTACACTACTAGAACTACCTTTTCGGCGCGGTACTGCGATGGTACAAATAGCCATTTAATTCATATCCTGCACATTTAGGAAAGCGAATAATTTAAACGAGCATTTCCGACCATCAGGAAAAAAAACGGCCACTTCACAGGCACAAAAATTTAACATCTTTTAATTGGTCAGCCTCCATAATACATCAAATGACCGTGTGTTTATATATATATATATATATATATATATATATATATATATATATATATATATATATATATATATATATATATATATATATATATATATATATATATATATATATATATATATATATATATATATATATATATATATATATATATATATATATGAGACTGCCTTAGGCTACACACGTTGAAAAAGCTTGTGAAAGTAGAGTACTAGACCTCTAAACCTCAGGAGAAAATGTAACGCTTTGACCCGAGTCCCTAAAATGTCTGATTTATGCACGGCTAATGGGATAGTTTTAAGTCTAAATCTGGGGCTGGGTAAACGAATTTATCCGGTCAGCGTTGGTCAGTCCCTGCACAGTGTCCGCCCGTCTGAGAGGAAATTTTTTTTTCCTCCGACGAAAACAGAAAATGGTGTTTTTGATGTTTATCGCCTATGCCGCGATTCATCTTTTTTTCCTATCTAAAAATACCATATTGTTTAATTTTAAAAAGACTTCATACGACTTATTTAATTTCAAATAAATAACAGCAAATCATTCTAGCTTTAGCCAACTGATATTTCGTAACTTGGATACTACTCTGAAACTAGTTGAATACGGATGCGACTATCCAATACTATGGATCAGTTAAATGTATGTCGTAGACGTACAACTATTAAGTTGTTTTATAGAAATTTAATAGAACTGAAGAGACAGCCTCAAGCGAAGTGCATTGTTAGTTTCTGCGGTACAATTTTCTTACGCAACTGTTCAATTCTCGAGTTGTTGTTTTTTTTTCAATTGATCGACTTCTGGGAATAAAAAAATAAATCAAGTGGGCGTTGACTTTGGAGGTGCGTATAGTGTGTGTGTGAGTGTGTGCGGGGGTGGGAGCGGATACAAGTAGTGTGGGGGAGAGATAATTAACTTTCGCCCCCACTAAATGAATTATGTACAAGTCTAAACACCGACGGCATATCACACGGATACCCCCCACCGACGTGTACACAGAGACGGCCACGCTGGGTGCACGGTCACGACAACCGGAAACCAGGCAACGAACGAATCACCGTAGAAAGCCGACACAAACCACCGGAACACAACATCACATTCACTCAACTCTTGAACCAATACATTAGCTCCCCTTCGGCGGAAAACAACTCAAACTTCGAGAACCATTAGCTATTTTAAAACCGTCCAATTAGCCTGTCTTAATCTGTATAGCGCTGATTTCATTATGCTTAGTATCTATACATAATATATATATATATATATATATATATATATATATATATATATATATATATATATATATATATATATATATATATATATCCTTAATTCCGCGTTTAACGCAAACTGCGTACATTTATTTATTATGGAAACGCATTCTGAAAATTCTACAAATGCCTATATGGCACCATTGTCTAGGAAATAAATGACTTCATTCCTGGCATTACTTGGCCCGGTCCTGCCATACTAATTAAATAGCTGCGCACTTTAACATGCCCAGTACGTAATTAATGTTATCAATTTAAAAACACCTTGTTCTAACATAGTTTGCACTTTGGCGAAATGAAGTTTTTCTACCCTCGATATGACGCAAACAGCCAGATTTAGGTGTATCGGTTTTCGTTTTTTTTTTTCTAAACCGGGTTGATGTTTTGGAACAAATTTAATTAAAATTATTCTGTTGAAATTTTTATTATATTATAGACGGTTGCCCTCGCGTTTGCATGTGATTTTATAATTACATTTGATAGATCTACTTAAAATTTAGTTTACAGAAAGACGGACTGAACTTTGCGTAAAATAGTAAAGGAGTCGCCAGCGAAAAAAAAATTATTCTTCTAGTTTATTCACTTCGCTCAAACCCAATGTGAAATATATTAAAAGACGACTTCATAACGTACGCCGTAACCTCATATGTAACCTAACACACGTCTATCGAATTTCATTTAGCAAGTAGTTGTGTTTATTGAGAAACAACTGCTGAATTAGTCAGTTGTTAACATAATGCTGTGGTGAATTATTCTGCGGGGAGAGGGTGGGTCGAGAGAACAGACAATGTATAAAACGTAATGAATGGACAATCAAAATTCACGATATTAAAGTGTAATTAGTATTATTCACCAACCTTGTCATTTACATAAATTTGCATGTAGTCAAGTTTTATATTGCTTTAAAATGCTTATACATTTCAACGAGGGGGAAAAAAGTTATAAAAAGACGCAGATAAAATATGCTTGGCCTACACCAAAACTAAACACATTTTTAGAATTGTTAGGATGACGGTACGACGCTTTTCTCTACAAACCCAAATGAAACGGCAAATTACTCAAGACAATATGGATCTAGTAATTTTATGAAGCCTGACCTATAAAATAAACATCTGACATTTTTTTCGCCATTTTTAAACTGCTAAAACTATTTATTTCCATATTTAGATCTATAACAATTATTGAATTTTTTTCTAAACTAAGTCTACATTGCATCTAGCATCTACTGAAACGCCTTATGATAATTTTGCTTACTAGACCTGTAAAGAAACTGCTTATAATATTCTAAATGTTAGATTGACTTCTGTAGGTATTAAATTATAACCTTTTTATTTGTTTCGTATCTTCCGTAAATGTATTAAAATTGTTGAAATATTTTTTGCAGATTAATTAAATCCAATTTTTTAACAAGTTACAAAGTAAACAAAATAACCTCACTGTTGACAAAATAAAAATCCTGGCCAAGTACTCTAGTAGATCTATCGTCTGCCGCTCTAATTTAAGAAATGATTGTTTCAATCTAGATCTAGAAATCAGTTGACAATCAACTGCTATTTGGAGACATTTTTTTTTAAACTAACGTTTATGTTTTACAATGCTGTCACATTATATTCTCGAATCTTCTTGAAAAAAATCAATCTCCATTACCATTAGATACAAGAACGCCATTGTTTCCGACAAGTGGGCCATTATGCAGGTGCATTCACAAGTCTTAGCATTCACTGGGTTCTAGATTGTTTTATAAATTATAATACTGGGAAAGTTCGAGAAATTGAAAACATTAAAACTTGACATTTCAAGAAATATGTGTGGAAAGAGCATTTGAGGTTAAAATTATCTTTAACAATGCCTGTCATAACAATAAAAAGAAAGTTGCATTTCTGTAAATTTGCATACTTCATTATGATATACTTAAGTTTCAGGTTATGTTTGTATATATATATAGACTAGAGCTGTAATGTAGTGTAGACATTGTAAAGTTATTTTTTAAATTTCATAATATATTTGGTAAAATCACGATATAGCGTCGGTTATTATTCCGGAACTGTACAGCAGTAAAAAACAGTAAAACCATGGCGTAGTCTGTCGAGCCGTTCCGGAAACCACCGGAAATACTGTAAACCATCATTTATTTGCCGCCGTATTATTTTTAATACATAATGTTGAAAAATGTGCAAGGATTGATTTTAGTTGCAATTTAAATACTGTTTTGCTAATTATTTTGTATTTCTAATTATTTTAAGTGTATGTGCTAATTATTGCTGCTACTAAACATTATTCTAGTTATTCTTACTACTTTTAACTTTAGAAAATCTAATCGTCTTATTTACTAACAGAACTAGAGCTGGTTGTCGCAAATCTGCTGCAAGTTTTTTCTGTTTCTTAAAAAAAAAACATTAATTACTAAACTCGACTTTAATAATAATATTTAGATTTACTAATTGTTGCTAATTTTTTTGTCAGTTAAACATTAAATTAAGTTAAAACATTAATTTAATGCACTTGACTTTATTTTTCTTTCAACGGTCAAATAAACTATGGTTTACAGTAACGAATGTTACCGAAACTCAACGAACATTACCCAATAATTTCCGACGCTATATCGTGATTTTACCATATATTTATATTAAGTGTGTGTGTATCATACACTGTGCAGTTTACTCATGTAACTGGGTAACAATTAGCCACTCAATTTTGCACACTTATGCCTAGCCTAAAAGTCTACAAAAGAAATAGTTAAACTTTAAACAAAGCAATGTCGGTGAACATGTATAACAGTTGATAAAAATGTATCATTGCACTTACAGAAATGCATTATAAATGGGCAGGACATATATGCATCACACAAAGTACCTGAGGTTAAAGGATCTTGGAACAAAAAAAAAATGACAAGCAAAAATATGTCAAGGTAAGGGAATCTTTCAATGGTAGTTATAGTAATTTTATAACAACATTCATATGTATAACTAAATAATTGTAGTAGGTAGGCACACACCTACAGTTGTTTTTAAAGAGTACATGACTGGTATTATAAATAAAAATTTTGCTGTAACACAGGAATTGTATACTTCATAACAATGAGTGATTGCTTTTTTTTTATACCTGGGGTACAGTTGCTGAGAAGGAAGAAGGGGGAATGAGGGGATATTATACACCAATATGGGTAATCTAACAATGGCTGATCTTAGCTTACATTGCCAGCTATGTGGAAGTTGGGCACTCACTTGACTAAAAGCTGATTTTTTTTTCAGTCTATTTTTCTGACTTCAGCTCTAGACATTGTTTGCACCATACACTTTTGTTGTCTAGACAGATAACTGTCTTGTCACAATTTGTGAATACATTTGCAGCATTCAATAATTTACTTTACATTCTTTTTTTAAAGTATTGTCATAGCATATTGCTGTTCTCTTAATTTAAAAAGTGCCAGATGTAGCTGTTGATACTTTGAAAATAAGGTAAGAACAGTGGAACCAAGTAATAGGGTGCATGGAATGAAAGTTAGGAACAAAAATCAGGTGAAAATTACAGACCAACCACGGCAGAAGCTGCAGATGCCTGGCCAGTCATTTTGAAAGGGCTTGAATCCATGGGGTTGGTGTTGAGAGGAAGGTTGTAGCTCTGGAGTAGAAGATCCTCCCTGTCCATCTGCCCAATGGGACTCTCAGTCCTGCCAGCCTGGGGTGCTGACAAGAGAGACGCGGCGATACTTTTGTAAATGGCGCTAGTGCTGACCAGTCCATCGTCCCGAGATAAGCATCCAGAGTTGTTGACTTCCGGTGTTAATCCTATACTGGATGTGAACATGGGTGCTGATGATCTGATAGACTGACTCGGTCTATGACCAGAGCGCAGGCTCCGTCTGTGGCGGCACTTGACGTGGCGCTGCAGGCGGAAAGCAAAATGTGTTTTGAAGGAACAGGATGGGCAGCGCAGTAAACTTTTCTCAAAACAATTTTTAATCGGGAGGTCCCTGCGACTGCGAATATGAACATGCCTCACATGCGCCATTCCCCAGGAGCGGGTAGGGAAAACTGCGGAGCAGTGAGAACACCTGAATGTGTTTGGAGATTCTGGTTCTGTGTTTTTGACTTCTGTGACCGCCTCGTCAATGCTAAAGCCATGTACCGCAACCATATGTGCTGAGAGTGAGTTCGGTGACGGAAGAGCATGGTGACAATGTTTACATGAAAATGAAGGGCTCAGTTCTGAAATCACCCCATGCTCCTGTCTTTCATGATCCAGCAAGGATGATAGCCAGTGGGTATCGTACCCGCACCGTAGACATACAAACTTCTTCAGTCGACGGTAGCTGGACATTTTCTTCCGCAGTCCCCACCTGGCGCTGAGCTCAGCTACCTTGTTGTTGTTGCCTTCCCCGTTGGGCAGGCTGGGTTCCTCAGTTGGAATCTGGGGCTCATCTGTGTCTAGCGTGACTCTAGCATTATGCTCTTGGATCAAATGAAGCTGTACAGACAGCTCGGCTGGGAAATCTATCCCACACACTTGACATGTGTAAACAGGAGGTGAATTTTTAGATCTCATATCTAAGGCTTCATTGTCTGAATGATCTTTAATAATATGATCTTTTAACCACTTCATGTTTTTGAATCTGCGACTGCATATATTACAAGTCTCGCTTTGCTCAACATTGTTGTTGAGTGATATTTCATCTTTATTCTTGCTGAAGTTGACCGGCTTTAGATTAAACTTTTCCACCAGCCGATCGGTTGGAGGAAGAGGAATCATCTGGGGCAGGCTGAAAGGATCAAGCCGGAATGGCTTCTCGTCTGGTTGACTTGAAGCATTGGAAGCGGTGTCACAGTCTGACGCATTCGGAGAACCACTCATGCTGACATTGGGGGACTGTGATGTGGGGATGATGCCATGTTTTTTCTGCTTGTGTGTGCGTAAAAAGTACTTGTTACAAACCTCTTTGTTGCAAATGTCACAGATAACTCTGGATGAGTTGACAGGTTCCTTCCACCGCCAAGAGCTGGCAACTTTGTCCAGGTTTTCCTTGCTCTTGTTGTTGCTGCTGCTTGTTAGAATGCTTGCTGGTTTCAGTGGTGACACAGCAGTGATCTTCTCACTGTCTGAGCTCTTGGAGCTGACTGAGGAGGTTGTGTCACTCTTGATGCCATGAATATTTTGCTTGTGGGTCCTGAGAAAATATTTGCTGCAGAATTCTTTTTTACAGATGTCACAGTAAGCCTCTGGGTCAAAGTTCAGCTTGATGCCATCTTCTCCTGGCATCTTTCCAAGAGGTGGCAGCCCAAAGAAATTCAAATCCATATGCCGGGCTTGATTGTGTGATCTAGCAAACAGTTCATTGTTTATAGTGTCTGTAAGAAAAGAAGGCATGTCTCTAAAGTTTTTGAATTCTCTCCCAAAGTCGACAAATGGTGGCATGTCCTTGAAATCTATTTTGTGCGGGAGATATGGAAGCATGTGTTTTTGTGCAGGGTGTGGGGTCAGATTCAACGGTTGTTGGTTGGATGAGGTTAAGCTGCCAGAGGATGTGGGGGTCTTTGGTTTAGAGATTGGTGGAATTGGAGAATTCAATGGTTTTCTATCATACTTTTCATTAGTGCTTGGGTCTATGCCGTGCACGTTAAATTTGTGGAGACGAAGGAAGTACTGATTGGTTATTTCTTTATTGCAAATGTCACACACTGCACTTTCCTGTGCCTTGATGGTAGGTGAAGGGCCAAAGCTGGAAGCATAGCAGACTGCTGAGGCATCGGCAGCCATTCTCATTAAAGATTCATTCATGCTTCTCATTGCATCTTCTTTATTAGGAAGCTCTCCGTTCTCAATGAGTGTTGGGTCAATGAGTTCATTGAGACCATGGTCGTGGATCCTGTGAATTCTGTACAGATATTTGTTGTTAAATTCTTTACTACATATGTTACAAATAAGGAAACTGTTCTCTACGCTGGAAGCACGCTCCATATGGTTCCTTGAATGAGAGAATGGATGATCATTTTTACCCATCATTGACAGTGGTGGTGGACTTGGCCGGCCCATTTCATTCCTATTTTCTTTTACTAGAGATAGGGCTTTATCTCTAGGTCCCTCATCATTTGGTCTACGAATACTATGCTTGCTTTCTTTGTGGATTTGTAAGTAATACTCATTGCAGAATTCTTTAGAGCAGATATTGCAGTGGACTCCGGTGTCCTGAAGAGATGGACTCATTTTGTTGGGAGAGTGACCCGCTGTTGACATAATATGTGAAGACGCAGATGAGGTGGGGAGTGAAGGTGGAAGGTGAACAGAATCTGGTAAGGAATTCATATTCATGGCTTGTGAAATGATGGGGTGAGGAGGGGGTGGAAGCTGCTGACCAGGCATCAAGGAGCCTGCTGGAATGATGGCCATAGGAGGCAGGCTGTAAGGGTTGATGACCATCATACCAGGGGGCATGTTGGGCAGGTTGGACAGGTTAGGCATGCTGGGCAGGCCATGCATCCCAGGTAAGCTGTGCATTCCCGCAAGGCTGGCCAAGGGTTGTGGAAGCATCATGTGATTGGTGGAAGTCATTGGCATGTCCAGGAGACTCGACCTTGACCTCTTGTTGGTGGTGCTGGGTGGGGTGTCAGGAACTATGCCATGCACATCTTGCTTGTGCTTCTTGAGGTAATACTTATTGCAAAAGTGTTTTTGGCAAATGTGACAGTAGTCCTCCATGCTGGGGTCACTCGTGGGGGGTGGATTTCCCGGGCTGGGTCCATTCTTAATGCTGTTGGTCATACTGGTCAGGATAGATGTAGCACTGGAAGTGGTAGAAGAAGAACTCAGTGCCAAGGAGTTGCTCTCACAGCCGTCATTGTTTTTTGGTGGTGCGGGCTTGGGGCTTTCCAGATTTGGCAGCGGCATAGGAAACATGGGAAGTGATGTATCTATAGGCTTCATGCTAGGCGAACTGTCAGGTCGTTTGGGCTGGATACTTGAGGAGTCCAGCTTAAAAGACCAAGGAAGTAGTGGCTCACTGCATGGGGTCTTCAGGGAATCCATCTTAAAACTAAATGAGGCTAATGGGTCTTGAGGCATCATAAGACCCGGGAAAGGTATAGGAACACCGCTGGATGGGGGGGAGTTGTCCTCGTAGATACCATGCTTGTTTGCCTTGTGTGTTTTCAAAAAGTATTTATTGCAGAACTCCCGATCACATAGCTCACAGTAGGCATCCATATGGAAAATCCTGTCCGACTTTCCATTCATTGGCTCTCCAAGAGCTTCTCTACTGAGTTTTGGCGTAGAAGAGGTTGGATGCTGAGATGGTTCAGAAAATGGGGAGTTGTCATAACTGGACTCCATGTGCTCAAGTTTTAACGGCTGCAGCATGTTCCTGGGGGAAGGAGGCGGGCTGGCTGCTGGCGCTGAAGGTGAGGCTTCACTTTTCAAGTGACCATTGGTCAAGGGGACATCAGAACCCTCGAGCAGCTCCCTCCCCAGTCTGTGATAAGCTGTAGGGAAATCTTCTGGTGGACCTTCCATTTTTGGCCTCTTCATTTGTGGTCCATCCATATCCAGCTGCATGCTGTGGTTCTCTTTAGGGATTAGGAACGTCTGAGGAGGACAGCTGTTCAATGAAACATGCATATCCAAAGGAAGATCATAGTCTGAATTCTGACCATTAGTTAAAGGTTCAGATGACATTGAGTCATCATCACTTAAGACATTATCTTTCTCCATGTCGTCCTTCTGATCATCAGCAGCAGCATCAGCGTCGGGCAGCATGGGCATGAGTAGGGGATCCCTCGCCCCAGCTGCTAGTTTGTTGGGGTTTGTCTGCTTGCGTCTGCTTGACTTCATCATTGTCAACTAGAAAAACCTGAACAGGTCTTGTAACATTTGCAGCACAGGGTCAACTAGTGAGGGGAGGCTTGGTGGTCTAGTGGCAGGAGCTCAAGGGGTTTACCATCTCTGGCACAGTCTCTAGGCTAGCCTGACAAAAAGAGATAAAAAATGTTGCATCACCTTATGCCAGTTTAACATAGTACTTCCAAAACACACACGACTAAAATGCATAGGACATCTTATAAATTACATAGGACCTCTAAAATGTTTGGTTCTTCTAAAAAGGATGGGATTTCTTTTAAAATAGGCCTACTTTACTTCTAAAATGTATAGGGCTTATAAAATACAAAAGATTTCTAAATTACACTGGACTTTAAATTTATAAAATATATAGTAACCTATAAAGTAAAGGATTTCTAATACAAAAAAAGTATTTTACATCACCCACGTTTCATTTTATTTATTTTTTGTTAGAGATATAATTAACTTCAACTGAAGTGTAATTAAATTAAGTACTCCATATGTTAATTTTTTTTCAACTCCCCTTTGTCAAGCCAGTGTTCCCATCAATAATAGTTTCAAGTTTAGACCAGGGAGTGTAGCCAAATAATGTTTAAATTAATCTTTATTATACCCAGCCAGGCCCAAGAGAAAACATCTGGAAATGTGAAGCCATAAGCAGACATTTTATAGCCAGTATAAAACACTGTTGTAGACACTTTATATCAAAGTCCCGTCCCCACTCCACCACACTACTATATTTTACAACCAAAAAAAAGTGAAAGAGAAATCATATCATGGGAAACACAACTGATGTGAATAAACAGTTTTTTTAAGCCACCACTGCAGGTATTGATTGCTTTAACGAACCAACACTAGCAAATACAGTTTAAAATTTAGCTCGAACACCTGACATATTACAGGCATTGAGTTTCCACTCTGAACAAAGCTAGCATTATTTTTTTTCCCCTCAACAGGCCGGGCAAGGGGCTATTCTTTTACAGGAGAATTGTGGGACAAGACGGTATGCATTTGAAACCAATTTGTTGGTTCAGAAACTTGGAGAGGTTTATCAATTGTTGACCCACGCACACAGGTAACAACAGGCGCATTTGTTTACTATCGATTATTTTTTTTTTCAAAAACTAACCCAGCCATTAACATCACTTAGTTATTAATGAAGTTGCCTTTTTCTTTTTTTTTTAACAAAAAAATAAAAAGGACGAAACCCATCTGTTTAATTATCATGTTCGTTTAATATCAATTAATGAAATTGTCCTAATCTTTTCATTACCGCTGTTTTATTGCGGTGTAAATCCGAAAATGGGAGCAGTAAAGAGATAAACTGAAAGCGACATTTCGCCGAGCAGGTGTGATACCAGTAATGAAACAATGAATTAAGTGGGTTGGTTATCGCTTCGACGCCGCCGCTCCGAGTTGGCAATGGAGCGACGTTTGGGTAACAAAAGCAGAATTCAGTCAGGTGTACAAAATTTGTACCATGACAAATTCTACCCCCACCTCCCCACTCCCTGAAACAGTAAAGCATCCGAGATTTGAAAAGTAACAAGATTACGCCATCAGTAAATAGCTCTTCGCCCAAGTTCTGTTCATTTCATTGCTAGCTAATTCTCCTCGACTAAAGCGGGCGGCCAACCCCACAACAACACTTCTTTCAAGCCTAATTTGTTCGGCCGGGATGAAAGGTGCATGAAAATTAGATTGTTGATAAATAGATTTCTTGGCTTCATGCACACTTCTCATGGGATGTCGTTCCTATTTAAATGCAAATTATGTTCATCTCTGGGCGTTGGGAGAGGGTAACACAAGGCTTTCAAAGGAACCATAATGGTATTGTGGCCATACAAGAAAACACGTTTTGGTGGATTTTAATAATAAAAAAATTTAAGTTCCGACGCGTCGTGTTTGAAAAAACCGTAAGGCTAGTCGAGACAGAACAACACACTGATCACTAAGCGGGATCGGCGTACGCTGGGGGAAGGGTGTGTACGGGGTGGAACACAGTCCAACACGGCATAGCGTGGATTCAGTCATGCAGTTACGGTGGGGGGAGGGTAGTGGGGGGGGGGGGGGAAGGTTGGTGAAGAGGGTGGGGGGGGGGGGGGGGGGGCGTGTGCGTAGCGTGCGGGCATCCAATTACCATTATTCTCCGTGTGATTTTTGGATTTGAGGATGAAAATAGAATCTGAATTCAATTACTGGAATTAATCAAACTTCATATTAAATTTTAGTGGCCCATACATAATTAAGGAAAATTCAAATAATGAGCACTGTGTTGATTAAAATACAGGAGAATAAAGTAAACACAGATGTTCATGAACTCGACCCACTGTTGAAGTAAGTCATCATTCATACAACATAGACATACAACATAGAAAATACAACTAGAAATTTGACCACAGCAGTTTAAACACCCCCCCTCCCCCGTATTTTATTTAGAACGCAATTACAAGAACGACCGTAAATAGTTTGTCAGAGGATGGTTGGGTGAATGTACGACAACCCGAGCACTCAACCGTAGCCGACATACGGGCGTTCAATGCATGAATGGTAAAGCCCAGCTAATTAAAGAATTGGGCCCGCGTGTCCGTTAGAAGTGGCCCGACACGCTGAAAACATTGGCCTAAATTAGTTTATAGGTGTGTGTCGTGGATGGATGGAGCTCACGTTAGTGGATGTACTTCAAAACAAAACCTAACCTAGGAATAATTGACACATTCTAGTAGTTATTAGGTCTACCATATTGTTTAGTAATATTATCTTAACAAAACAGCAAAAGGCGTATTGTTTTAACAAAGGCTTACAATACTTACATACATTCTCAATCATTGTGTATTCTAAACAGTAGGTCTAAATTTAAAACTATAGGTCAGTGTGTATGCCTGGTTTAAAACTAATTAAAATATATCCATTGTATTTACAGGCCTAATTATTATTATTAATTAGCCGCTGAACTCAGTGTAAGTGTAATGAAAACACAACCGTTAAATTAGTAAAATCACAGCGTCAAATTAAACTTAAGCCAAACCATAACATCTGTTTACTTCTAGTTCTAGTCTAGTTCTCAAATATTATGAGTCAGTAAAAAAATAAGATGAGAGATTTAAAACAAACAGATCATTCTAAATAGGCCTATATTGTAATAAAGGTCCTCAACGTTTACTTTTGTCTCATTAGTTGAGTCATTACTTTAGGACTTAGGAGCCAAGATTAAAATAGGTAGAATCAACATTGTGGACTGTTTTAAGTCATTACATTCATGGCATGTAAGTTATTACATTTAATTAACATTGAATTGATTAGTTAAGATTAATATAATGAAACCTTTGTTTTTTGTATTCAAAGCGTTAAATTATATAATTATAAGGTAGGAAACACAAGGGACATAAAAAACATAGGCCTACACATTAGTAGGCGTCTATGAAACATTTCTAAGTTAAGTGAGCTAACATTTTAATTTAACTAATTAAAACAAAGTCTAGGTCTAATTAAAAAGTCATTACTTAAAATTAAAGTCTCATCATCTTCAGTGAAGTAACAAGTATACCAACTACGCAAGCCGAGTCCTAAAGACTATGTACTAAATCTAAGTATACCACAGATAAACAAATTCAACTAACTAAAATAAGTTTCAAATTTTCTCTCACCAAACACTTTTTTTTTTTAAATTGACAAGTCCAGTTTGTAAGAATTCCCTTGAAAAAAATCACCATACAATCCACAATTAAATACTAAGCAAGAAAAATAACAAAGTCCAGCGAGTCGGGAAAAACACAACAGCACACTGAAACTACGGTATCCGAAGTGAAGTATATTTAAATCTGTACCTTGTAAAACCATAAGTCCAGCAGGCCTAACTGACCAGCCGGTCCAGTCCAACGTTGGCGATCAGAAAATGCGAGCCGAGCCACGGTCCGCAGTGGTGAAAGTCCGGCGCGCGTCTGGCAGGCTACAGCACGGCGCTGGCTTCAGTGTTTGTGAAGTATAATTATTCAGATAAATGGCATGTCATAATTTGCATTCATTCTTTCTGAGGACTTGATAGATGACAGTTAGCAATCAATAAGTTAGGGGGATTTCACTGTTTCGCTGTCCAGCCGCTTTGCGAAGCCGATCCATTGTCACACGCTTGAGTAATAGGAATACGGTTTGAAAAGTGGAGGGGTGGAATCCCCCCACTCGCGAACAAAACTACCACATTTTTTTTCCAGTTTTAAATGAAGCAACAGCGAGCGATCCCCTACCATCCCTCTTGTACAAAGTTTTAAAGAGGGGCTTGTTGCATTGTCCGTGCGTAAATTTCATTACAATCAAGTGTCGGTTCGCGAGGGCACCGCGGTACAGTCGACGGCGAGCGACGGTGAGTTAGCAACACGCGCGGCCCGCCGAGGGAGGGGCTACTGCGTTTCGCCGTGAAGTGAGGAATATTTCCACGAACTGGGCGGAGTTTAATGAAACGAGCGGGTTAAAACGATACACCAATAGAGTCATCAAAAACTTTAATAGGAAAAATCTGGTGGGGGAAAAAAAAATCAAGACAAAAACCCAGCCCGATGCAATTGGTTATGATCCATTCTGTTGCCGACGAGATGTCGCTACGTGCAGTTAGCTCTGGAACATATTCTCTGTGACAAACTCGCTTCGTCCGTTAGGTAAAAAAAATATAAAAAAATCAACCCCAACTTAACACTTGACTCTATGTTCTCGCGAGCTTCTCAACGGCGCCTTTTTAATTTAAGTCTTCGCCTTGTGTGCTGTTGTTAAGAAACTGATTTGTTAGCGTTACCGGGGAGTAAACAGGTCCTAGGCTCACCATGGGATCCAGCTGCGTGCTGAAAGAAATATTGTTATCACTTAACGAATCGCAGCAGGGAGCAGGTATTCCAATAAAATAAGTTACAGGGTTATCCCCCCCCTCTCCTCTGCTCACCCACCCCACACCGTCAGCCAATAAAACCCGGCGGTAGTTACGTACAAGATAGTTGTAAGCGGAGACGTCATCGTTGTTGGACCTGTGGCAGGGTTAACTTTTTCAAGTGGAGGGGGGGGGGGGGGGGCAATTAATAAACCGTTTGGGTAAAACAGCTTTGGGGGTGGAGAGTGAAACGAGCTGAGGGGTGGGGTGTGGAGTTCATCCCATTAATAATTCCCAGATTTTTCTTCAACCCGGGTCCGATGCTGTACTAGAAACGAAAAACAACTTTCGGCTTTTTGATTCCCCCCCCCCCCCCCCCCCACACACACCTCGACTGTTCAATCGTGGTTTTATCGTGTTATGCGGGGAGGAAAACAAATAAAATTACCAGATTTAAAATAATTGTTTCGCGAAGAGCAAAGGAGGATTGCTTTTTCATCAACTCGGCATATATAACGACACATTTCATGATGTTGGTGGCTCTCTTCCAAAAAAAAAAAAACCCGCCAAACAATGGGGGAATATGTGATATTAATACAAACATCTCCCCCTTATCTATTGGTCCAGGATATAGAACTCCCCCCCCCCCCCACCCCTATAAAAAAAAAGCCCGGAAGAGGACGAAGAGAACAAACGAATAGGACACAGATCGATAAAAATATTGGGAGGTAATTATAAACTTATACAAATAGCCACTTACACAGATGAAATAAATGCTCATTAGGTCTTTGATGTCGGGGGAAAGGTGGCTCCAAGCCAGAAGCCTCTCAAACATTTCATTCTGCTGATGACGGCAATTGAAAAATATAACAGCTCACCGGGGTGTTTGGCCGCTGTGTGCGCCGGGGATCCCCCCCGCATGATGAATGTTTCAATAAAGTCGCCACCAATCAAAACATAACGCTATATCATTCATGCTAAATACACACAACATAGAGGCCGATAAGACAGGGGGATGCGGCCCGGACTATGCAGCATCAAAAGACACGTCCGGTCGTGATTGATGACATCAGGGCCGACGCGAGAATTGGTACACACACAAAATACAAAAAAACTGAAATTACGAGACAAGAACCGGGGGTTAAATGAAACAATTAACAGCAACCGTAATTGAATGGGATTTTTAAAATAAAAAAAATTTGCCCTTGGCCGGTCCGGGGAGTGATCGGCCTTGGAGTAAGCTGTGCCCGATATTTCGACTGTACTATTCTTTTGTTGGTTATAACCCGTGGTGGGGGGCGTACGGGGGGAACTGAACTCATGCGTGACTCTATGTTCAGGGTCATTACTTTTCAACAGTCAGCTCAAATAGAAATGACTTTGAGGCGAAATGGCAAACCATGACTAATTTTGTACTATGGTTTAAACATGGTTAAAAATAGATCTTAATCATCCAATAAGTCAAGTCCGGGGTAGCGGGTGGGGAGGGAGGACACAAATATAAGATTAAACTTTAAAAAAATATAAATTTAAAATCTAGCAATGTCAGATATAAAAAAGTGTTATTTTACTCGCATAATTTAAGATTACCAGTTAAGGTCTTCATTTTAAATTGTTTTATATACTTCTAATCTTTTGGAAGTAATTTGATTGTACGCATTGTGTAAATAATAAAAATAAAATAGTCAATCTGTACTACTCAATTTTTATACAGAAAGGGGAGTTAAGAAGCAGAGTCATCGTTCTTAAAAAGTCAAGATCACGCTTAAGTTCAAGGTCAGGTTGTGTACCTGTTTTTAAAGCTACACGGAACACCAAGAAAGAATTTTGTTTGAATTTCTACAATGGAAAGAAAAAAAAATTCAAGTTTCCACTGCGTTGGTCAGCAGGGGCGATTATCCAGGTCTTATTCAAACAACTCAAGGAGGGCGGTTTTATCGTCGTAGCTAGTGAACAATGCTTTGAACATTCAGCAAATAAAATGTAGCTTATAACGTGTGTAGACAGGTACCCACAAGCCATTATATATATATATATATATATATATATATATATATATATATATATATATATATATATATATATATATATATATATATATATACATATATATATATTGGTGGGTGTTGTGTGTGTTGGTATGTGTGTTTAGGCCTATACCAAATATAAAGAAAATATTAGAATGTAAAATAATTTAAAAACCAAAGGATTTCTATTTATAGAGTATAAAGACCGTATGTTTAAAAAAAAAACTTCCTATGAAAAGGGCGGAAGCAAATGCACCTGAAATCATTCTCGAGTTTTTCCAGAGCCCAGCCAGTGAAATATGTTTGAAAAGTGCAGCCCATCTGTGGAGCAGGCCGCCACACCGAGTGCTGTTGCCTACGAAATCAAACATTCTTTTGAAATTGTTTGACTTGAACAATGTCAGGTGTGGTGAGATGTAAATAATAAAAAAAAGTCAAACTAACCGGATAGGTGAGAGTGAGCGGACCCCCAAGGGCAGAGGGAAAACGGTGGGGCGGTACACGAAGGATGGGGGTGTGCTGGAGTGGGAAAGCTACAAACATTGAACCTGGTCTTTTGTAACATTGTGTAGTCTCTCTTTATGTTGTAGGTGTATCTATCGTAATAAACATCATACTATAAAAAAAATTTGAAATTATTTTTGTCATTGTTGTTCCGCACCTGTGGTCGTGTTTGAATACTATGCAGAGGCGTAGCGTGGCGGGGGGTGCGGACCGCACCGGGTGACACCATTTAGGGGGTGACACCAAGGCAAAAAATAAAATATATAGAGAAAAACTTGAGGGGGAGGGGTGCAAATCTAAAATTTGAAAGTTTGTTTCCCGGGAAGGGTTGCTACGCCTCTGGGGGGGGGGGGGGTGACACCCGACCTCACTACACCACTGATACTATGCTACATGAAAGTTGGGTAGTATAAAAAGTATTAACTTTATTCATATTCAAATCTGTGTTTCGCCATACCACCACTTACTGTAAGAGATATTATAAGTAAAATATAAAGACCAAGTCAACAACCTAAACGTGGTAACAACAGGATATCCTTTACCGTACAATGGGAAAAAAATGAAGGTGTTTTAGCATTCGCTTTCAACATAACATATAAACATAAGATAATCATTTATATTTATATAAACATGTATTGTATGTAGCATTTGGTAATTTGGTCGAGGGTTCAATCCTCTACGATTAGATACTACGGTAATTATATTATAGACTCCTGGCGACTTAGCTGAATCATGGAATTTAGAGCTTTAGGCCTATATATATATATATATATATATATATATATATATATATATATATATATATATACATATATATGTATATATATATACATACGTATATATATATGTATGTATATATAATATGTATATATATATATGTATATAATATACATAATACACATATATGTATATATTTACTTTCCCACAAGATATGTTTAAACAATATAATAATTTTCTATGCCTAGTCTTCTTTTTATTACAAAACATGAATTTCAACAGAAAGTAGTATATATCATCGCCATGAACAGAAGAGATTAAAAAACAACGAAACAAATATTCCGGGCCATTGGGCTGTCAGTTTCTGTTTGACAAAAATGTTTTACGCCTAGGTCTGCTCAACGCCACATTTCCACCACGCGCACAGCCGTGATAGGGTAACAGTTTATTGTGTATTCTTCCAGCACGTGTACGCCGCCCATGCCTGTAGTCTGCTGTTCTTTATTTATAGACCGTAATTCAACCTACCGTCAGTGTTACGAGAGATACATATTTATTTACTCCATGTCAAGTTTTTTTTTTTTTTTTTTTTAAACTATGTTTGAAATGCTTTACATATAACGAAAAAAAAATTTCTGTAAATACAATTTTCCGGACAATGAAACGTATTATTTAACATATTGTTTTTATTCCGACGTTTCTCTGCAAAACAAAGGAAACGCTTTGTTTAAATTTTGTAAAAATGGGGCACGGTGTCATCCTGGTTACCCTGAACAAAAAAAAATCGCAATATTCTCTTATGAAAATTAATAGGAAAAAAAAACCTATGTTATTGGCGCCAGCTGGCGATAATAGCAGAAGACAAAACTTTTAAAAAGGTCACTTGTGTGGAGGGGGGGGGGGGGGAGGGAAGAGGGTGCAAAGGGACGATAGTGATGGTCAACTCGGCTTACAACGAAACTTTCATCAGCTAGCCGTAGAGCTTGCACTAGGAACAGTGGCGTAGGCAGGTGAAGGGGGGGGGGGGGTCAGAACCCCCCCCCCACCCATAGACCCCTCGGCAGGAAGAATGGAAATTTAAAACAAAATAAAAAGTATCAAGCGATGGGGGCCAGATAATAGGATAAGCAATCCATTGTTACTGGGTTTTATTATCATCCGGTCACGTGTCACAGAGGACGTGAATGATTGGTCAGACTTTCGGGTCGGTATATTGGGTGGCAGAGTCGGGTGACTCGTAAAAAAACACGCTTTACATGTGGGACGAAAACGCATGTTTTTAATTAGAATGTGGAGGATAATGCAAATTGCGCATAAATAAATCTCACACCCGGAAATGTGAATATCGAGATACGCGTAAGGGTCGTGTTCTGGTGGATAATCCAGAAAGTATCATGATAGTTGTGGGAGAGTGATTATCACAATAGGAAGAGGGTTATTAGTTTGTATCAGTAGCTTACAGAAGGCATGGTAAAGAAAAGTTCCATTTTCGAATCAGAAAGTCCGTGAAGCAAGTGAAGTAGAGTTCACCTGTTTCTGTGACATCAGCATCAGTGTTTCTTCCAGACTTTTTTCTCCAGGGGGCACTTGATATTTTCGGGGGGGGGGGGGGGGGGGGGGCACTGGTAAAAGTATATGTTTTCTATTTAAATTCCACTTCGTTCGGGGGGGGGGGGGCTCAAACCCCTAAGAAATGCCTGGAAGAAACTCTGATCGGCACATGAAGGGATAGTGTGGTCAGCACTATGCCCAGCCGCCTGTACTTTCCCTAACGTTAGTTAGGCACCTATCAGAGCTGGGCGGACTCAAGGACGTTTTACTGACTTGAACACGGATTCGATCTCGAGACTACAGCTCTACCACCAGACCTCGCAGTCCCATTCGAAATGTTCGAGTAAGCATCACATTTGTTTCCTTGTCATGTAGAGACAACAACGACATGTCGACGCCAGGCACCAGATACCCTAGCTACGCCACAGGCTATTATTAGTATCACGATAGGTGCAGGCAATTAATCATGTACGTGACGAGGAGGTAGAGTCACGTGACGAAGGGGGTAGAGACAGATGAGGTACCACCACTTGAGGTACCCACTTGAGCTGCCTGTCTTGTATATTTCTCGTCCCGGGCCCTCCCCCCTCCCCCACCCGTGTTTCCTTACACAAATTATCATTAATTTTAGTACGAGATGCTTGTATATACACAACCCGCTCACGTGACATATTCGCCTCTTGAAAAACCAGCAGGAAAGATTTCTTACCCCCGCGTAACAGTACTGTTTCCATGTGATTTATGGCTTACTTTTGGACAAGAATTTTTTGGCATAAGTATTAAATAAAGCTCTACACTTAAATAAAACTTGTTAATAATTCTTATGTTTTTGGGAATGTAAACGTAGAATAACATGGTTTGGATAAGAAGCAATGTCCAGTTAAATTAGCGTACTCAGGTTTTTTTTTTCTATTTTTTTTGGGTTGGGAATGAGAGGGGAGGCGACCATCAGGGGCGGAACTACCATACCGCCAGACCCCGCAATGCGGGGGGGCCCAGGACGTTTAGGGGCCCAGTTCCGACCAAAAAACAATGGGGTTTTTTTTTTTCAAAAATTATGTTTTTCATGCATCTTGAAAGTGGTTTTGTATAAAAAAAAAAGGTCTACTATAGCAGAGATTGTTGCGTAGAAAAATATTTTAATATCTACAAGAGCTATAGTTTGAAAGGTAGGCAAACATTCACACTACTTCCATGACTTACTGCCCTTCCTTAAAATAGGTATGCCCACGAAGCTCATTTAAATAGTTTTGTACTATGTATATTAAAAAGCAATTGATTCTCTGAATTGTTATTTAAATAAGACGTTATAAACCGTGGTATAGCTATAAAATCAATTTTTTCAAAATTGATATTGTAAAAGCCAAAAATGAAAAAAATAAACATAACGCGAGAAACCATTCTCGAATCAAGCTTACGTCTTTATATATTTTTGAGCAGCATGATTTGTAGTGGCCATGATTATTTCTAACCCAAGATGAGTTTGGACTAAATTTGTCTGGTTTGTTTTCTCAGAATGGTTATTTAATGCAATGAAGTAGACTTAATTACTCAGGATATAGATTTTATATATATATATAGATTTATATATAAATAGATTATATATATATATATATATATATATATATATATATATATATATATATATATATATATATATATATATATATATAGGGGGCCCTAATTTTTTCTTTGCGGGGGAGCCCCTTTTTTCTAGTTCCGCCACTGGCGACCATGTTACCATTTCAACTCCGATGACCCTTGAAGCTAAAGGCTACTTAAGTCGACGTCTTAGTTCTTCATTGCAAACGGTACTTGCCCGTCTGGCTGTACCGTGCGTATTTACGCGGGAACATGTATGGGAACCAAGGAGAGGATTTGCAGAAATTGAAGGATCCAACGAAACATTCGATGCCGCGGTCAGAATCAAGTCGTGACGTCATTAGCGAAGTAAATGTTAGGCTTTGTGTCTGGTGGGGGGGGGGGCACCGACTGTCCGGCCAACGATGTAGGTGGCCGACCACCCGTCGGTTGGAATTGGGTGAAAGGGAGGGGGGGGGGGGGGGGGAAGAGAAAAAAAGTCGGGCCACGCAATCAGAGAATCGATGAACAAAAGGTTTGGGTCGAGATTAGTTTGAGTTGTCACAAGAACCTACAGAGATCTTCTCTCCCAAAACTCGATTTCCCTAAGTTAATGAGGCCAGAAGACCCTAGCTATAGGCATGTAAAT